ATTTCAGGTAATATCGGACACATGTTCAAAGAATGATTCCGGACAACTTAATCCGTTAACATATTAAAGTTGAGCAACTTTTTTATATAAATAATAATACGTTTATAATAATATAAAAGTCCTTAATGGTAATTTATTTATTCCAATAAAATGAGACGTATGATTTGAAAAATAAATTTTTTAAGTTTTTTATTTTCATTAGTAAAAAGCTAATGTTAATATTTCTAAATGATGTCATTTTCATTCCCATTTTTATATATCAGAAGCAATTTTTAAAGGCAAATTTTTTTGTGTTGAAAACAGTCAAATGCTAATTAATTATATTTTATATTTGTTTCACACGCGTAAGAAAGAGGTAAAATCATGTTTAAACTAGGTGTCCAGGGCTACCCTCCAATTTTGAAACACGTCTTTTTTCTAACATACTATCTTTTATGTTTTGTATATTATTAAGACACAAAACTATTAGTTTTTTATTTATAATTCAATTGATAAATGTTTATACCTTTAAAAAAGTCTTGTGAGACTTTGTTTTCTGTTAGTCCGTCTACCCGACTTTACTCTATAGATATATATTTTTTTAATTTTGAATAATGTTTTGTTTAAATACAATAGATAGGATAATTAAAAATTCGTTCTTATTTAATAAACATTTTTTTTTAAATTTTAACTTCACGATAGCGACTTTTCTCTTAAAGAATATGAAACAGCCTTTTGTTTTCAAAAAAAAAAAAAAATCACCTGGTTTTGATGACGTTTCTAGTAATATAGTTTAAACAAAAATTACATTTCCAGACCTTTGATCCATATTATAAAACTTTCAATGAATGAAGGTATTTTCCCTGAAGCACTAAAGTTGGCAAAAGTATGCCCAATTTTTTATAGAATAGAGTACAAAAACAAAGATCAATCAGAAATAATTATAGACCTGTATCAGTACTTTCTGTATTTTCTAAAATATTCGAACCTGTAATCTATAATAGAATTTATAACCATTTTAATGAAAATAGTTTATTTTACACAAAACAGTTTTCAAAAAAACCATTCAACTAAATACGCAATAATTAAAATAGTAGACCAAATTACTAAAGGATTCGAAAACAATAACTTTACTCTAGGATTATTTATTGACCTATCAAGAGCATTTGACACGGTTGATCACCTCATTTTTATAAAAAAATTAAACACGACGGAGTTATAAATAAAATCTATGATTGGTTAAAAAGTTATCTCACTGAAAGAAAACAGTATGTTATTAATAAGGAATCAGGTGAACTAAAAATTATGTGTGGAGTTCCACAAGGGTCAATTCTTGGTCTCTTGCTGTTCTTGATCTATGTAAACGATTTGCATAATGCTTCAGCAAAACTTAAAGCGATTATGTTTGCTGACGACACAAACCTTTTCTTATCAAACAGTGACATTAAGCAACTTTACTCTGACATGAGTTATGAATTAAAGAATGTCAATGAATGGTTTAAGGCTAATAAACTGTCACTTAATGTAGATAAAACGAAGTATACTCTATTCCATAAAAAATAACAACAGGAAAACCTTCCCTTAAAATTACCAGATTTAATTTTAGATGATAAACTAATTGGAAAAAATGAGTTAATACAATTCTTAGGAATTCTTATTGATGAAAATTTATCATGGCTTCCTTACATAAATTATATCCAATCACAAGTTAGTAAAACAATTGGTTTGTTTTACCGTATTCGCCCATATGTAACATCAGAAAGTCTGAAACTAGTATATTTTGGCCTAATACGTTGTTTTATTTACTATTTTAATATTATATGGGCTAGTACTCAACCAACAAAACTTAAAAAAATATTTTCTCTACAAAAACATGCATGCAGACTAATATATAAGAAAAAAAAATATTTTTATGTATAAATATAATAACAGCCTGATTCCGAAGACCTTTAATAATAAATTTACGAAAAATGTTAACAATAATTACTCTCTTAGAATAAACCAATGGAGAACTTATAAATTGCCTAGAGTTAGGAGCAAGTATTCTGAATATGGAATAGCATACCGTGGACCGAAACTATGGAATACATTTCAAAAAACCAAACATTTAAATAGGGGAAAATCATAAAACTCCTTCAAGTTTCTAATAAAAAATGAAATTTTTAAACTTTTTAAATAATTTTACAATTTATAAAATAAACATCGAATTCCATTATTCTTAGTTTGAAAAAAAAAATTGTGTCTTTCTTTTAAATTTGAAACAACGTCAGTGTTTTTTAAATGACTATTGTTAAAGTTATATTAATACTATTTTCTTTCTTTCTTTAATTGTAAATATTTATAAAACTTTTTTTTTATCTATTTATTATATTGGAATTGTGCAATTGTATATTTAACAATCTTATACTATTTTAAACTTGTAAAGCCCACATAGGGCTCTATGAAAAGATTGTGGTGACTTTAAAAGATTGTGGTGACTTTTTAAACTTCTTTGAGCCCCTGCCTGTTTTTATAAATCAACTTTTTTTTGTATGGGAATGTTTCTTTGTAATTATATATTTTTATTATATAAACAGCAAATATATATCAACTAAATATATATATATATATATATATATATATATATATATATATATATATATATATATATATATATATATATATATATATATATATATATATATATATATTTGCATACTCCAAATGCTTTCTTAGTATCACAACAAACTCAACAATTTTGTAAATTTATAGATAATTTGAATTAAAAATGCTCAGTAATAAAACTAAAACAAAAATATGAATGATTTTAAATGTAAAATGTATGTTTTTTTTTATTATATAGGAATTGTGCAATGGTATTTTTAACAATCTTAATCTATTTTAAACTTATAAAGCCCACATAGGGGCTTTATGAAAAGATTGTGGTGACTTTAGTCATCCGTATCTCCTTTGAGCCCCTGCCTGTTTTTATAAATCAACTTTTTTTGTATGTAAATGTTTCTTTGTAATTATATTTTCTTATCATATAAACAGCAAATATATATAAATGTCCCAAGGTAGGAGCATACTGTATGGCACAAGACTTGATAGCCTCATAAAAACGTAATTTATTACCAAACACGAGTTGAGAGGAAGCTTATTGATTATCGCATTTTGTATTAAATAATTTACAAAATCCTATAGAAAAGCTTTTTCCCTAGAAAAGTAAAACAATATATATCAGCTGCAAAACTTTACTTTAGACCATCATTAAATTGATCTCTGAGAATCAAATTAGGATTAAAAAAAAAGTTTTTACTGAGAAGCATAACTTAGTTTTGAGTTTATTGTTTTACAGTTTTGAATTAAATTGGAGTAGTCCTCGATTCAAGGAGGTCCTAGGTATAAGAACTTCTGCTATAAATTATTATCAGTTGTTATTTTACGATATTAAAGTAGAATATTTACCACGCGAGCTATTTTTGAAATATAAATTAGGTTGAATTTTATTCAAGTATTACAACATATGTTGTAACATATTATGTAATATGTTATAACATACTATGTAATATGTTATAACATATTATGTAATATGTTATAACATACTATGTAACATGTTATAACATATTATGTAACATGTTATTACATATTATGTAATATGTTATAACATATTATGTAATGTTATAACATATTATGTAATATTTTATACAATATTATGTTAGTTTATCCAATTTTTCTGACTTCAATGTTTTTTATTGGAAAGGTACTTAACGTGTAGGCATACATCTCCTAAAATTGACTTATTTCCCTAATTTTTATTGAAGAAATATAGATTTCCTGATCCGGCAGAGATCCAGTTTGTGTGTATCTCTCTCTTTTATTTATTTTGTCCTTTGAAATAAGCTTTACAATGTTTTACAACATAACATATAAAGTTTTGAAAAATTCCGACTGGAGCTGGCAGAAGACATGGTGAAGGTGAAGACATATTATCTAACCCCGTTGTTACAATTTAGATATAATCTTGTATATAATACAAATGCAAACTTTTTTTTTTTACTTATATATATATATATATATATATGCGTTGGCAAATACAGATTACGCTGTTATTAAAAATAACTTTTATGTTTAAAGAGTTTTCACTTTGACAAGTGCTCGTTCCTAATTATACGGGAGACCGGGGAAAGTTGGCAGAGATAAATTGATAAAGTACGTCTATGTTTAGAGCTTTTTATCAAAAATGTGCCGTTTTTCAAAATCAGGTGCTTGTTGTAAAAAATAAAATGACTTTTGGATAAGCTGGAAAAATTGTCACCGGGTAAGATGGCTCAGTATTTACTATGACAAAAAATTTGTTGTGAATAAAATAAATTTTTTTAAATACTTGTGACAATACTGAAAAAATTTGATTTTAAAAAAACTTTAGAGGGTTTTTTTGTAACCTATAAAATTTTATAAGTTTTAGAGAAAGTTTTAAAGAAAATAATTCTCTGAATTTTGCACTTAATAATCATTTTAATATTGTTTTGATAATGAATGTGACACCAAGACTCTTTTTCAACTCATCAAAATGTGCCATTAGGGCTACGGAGTTCAAAAAGTAAAAACAGATGAAAATAGCCCTAGTCTCCCCATATAATAATAAACACATAACAACAAAACGTGTTTAAAAATACATTGGCTTTAGATTTTACTATTTTTTAAATTTAATATGAGATACAAGATGGCTAAAATGGATAAAAATACTAGAACATGGTTACATGGTTAAAAAGCTTGAACAAGATGTTAAATTTTTTCTCTGAAACTTTTTATAATAAATCAAATAATCAACATAAGAATTAAACAAAAAGGGTTTTTTTTAAAGTTCTAAATATATTCCAGGTTTATGAAACACTTCCGGGGGATTTAATCAATAATGACCTAAGTGTCTTAACAATTTAAGTTAACAAATTAAAAGCACAGACCAAAGAAACTGTTTGAATCTGAGCTTGGTTACTAAATGTATTTAAATAATTACATATACTAAATGAATAAAAGTGTTTCACTAATAAAAGATATATTTGTGACCGTTGGTAAATAAGTTGCAATTAATCCATTTAATCAGATTTACAATTAAAGTAAAATTTAAACATTTTGAAGTATAAAGAACTTAAAAAATTACACAGCGTCAGCAGTTAATAAAAATATAAAAATAACTTTTGAGATTCATCTAATAAATATGAAATATGAACACGTTGTAAAAACATTACGTCATATTAAATATACGAAAATAAGCCAGCTCAAAATCAGTATAATAAAAATTAAGCCCCCAAAAATATTTTAAAGTTAATAATAAAAAACAAACTATATGAAAATCATGTTATAAAAATAGAATAAAAAATATTAATCAAAAACCTATCAATAAATAAAATGTTCATCAAAAATATTCTTTGAAATAAAAATTCCAGCAGCTTCTAAACTCGTGTCGAGTTATATTTAGGCATTAAAAAAATTCTTGAATAAATTATGGCAAAACAATTTATACAATCAGCGGCGTATTTATGTCTCAGATAATAATCTTGTCAAATTAAAATTTACTCGTGCATCTTTTTTATTGAAACAGACACATTTTAAACTAATGTGGTATCGGTTTTAAAACCATCTATTTCATCTTCTTTTAATTCATCATTGAATTTTATGTTATGAGCAATTGAATCTCCTGAGCTTAGAGAACGAGATGGAGAAAAACGAGGCTCAGGAGAAAAGCGATCATCAATACGTCTACTGTTCAATGGATAACCTCTATCGTTATTAACTTGTGGGTATTTTAGATTGGGTTGAGAATTGTCAACATAATTTCGGTTAGTGTATGGAGGAGTATAAACATGTGAAGAAGGTGTGTTATTTGAATTTGTTGATCGGTCGCTCCATCTATATGGTTTAGGCAATATAGGTGGTTTTACAGGATAACCCATTTCAGAAGCCAACTCATCTTCATCAGCCTGAGATGGAGTGTATGCCGGTGGAGCCGAATTAAAATCATATGGGGGAGGAGCATTACTAGGATAAGATGAATCTAATCTTGAGTCCAATTCCATGGCAAGCTCACGTTTAGATTTTTCTCTTTCAAAAGCATCTTGGAAGCTCTCTTTGTCATCAGAACCACCTAGCGTAGCCCTCAAAAAACTGGATTGCCTTGTTATTGGATTTTCCGGTATTTTAGGTTGCTTCTGGATGTCAGGTTGAGATCTACTTAGTGCAGGGTCAAAAGGAGTTTTTGCAGGTCTTCGGACTTTTGGCATATCAGGTTGTTGATATATTGGACTTTCTTCAGCTAACATAGGTTCAGACCGAGCAAGCTTTTTTTGTTCTGTTAGATCTGGCCGTCCTGGACGAGCTCTTGGTCGATTTAAAACCTCTTCAGATCCTCTTCTGTGAAATAAATATACTTATCATAAATTAGTATCTAACCTTATAAACTGTAAAAACACAAAAACACAAACATTTATGTATGTATGTATGTAGGTATGTATGTATGTATGTATGTATGTATGTATGTATGTATGTATGTATGTATGTATGTATGTATGTATGTATGTATATATGTATGTATGTATGTACGAATGTATGTAAGAGATGGATGGCAAGAAAAAGTACAACTGGGGTAAAAGTAAAAAAAACAACAACCTAGTAACCTATTAAAAAAAGTGAGGTACTTCCTAGATGTGACGATTAGTAACTATTAGTTAATTAAAAAGTTAAATGTTAATATTATAAATATTGTATTATTATTAATATTATAAATCATTAAGATTGTTATTTCTCTTTTCTTTCTAAAAAATCAAATTTTAGGTCAACTTAGTGTTTAAAAGTATGTAATACGAAAATCTATTTAAAATCGTTATAGTTTCGAAATTTTGTATCAACTCAAGCATTATATCTTCATATCTTCATCTAAATATAAACACTATATAACTATATATTTAACTATATATAAATATTAACACCTATATAACTCAAACAATGTTGTCAAATGTAACCAAAACATTTTTGAAACAAAAGAATAAAATAGATTTACATGGTTTTTCTTTGTTAACTCTCTGTTGCGAATTTATTTTATTCAATTTAAGGTAAATACGCCAATTGCCGGCCATTAACCAAATAATGGCCACTTTTAAAAGCTTTACTCACATAAATCTAAATAAATCTAAATCTTTACTCACATAAATCACATATTGTCCAAAATTATTTTTTAAACTCAATGACTCTATTAAAAATTTTTAAATATCGCAATTTTAGAAAAATTCTGGAAGGCTTTAGTCGCTAGAACTGAATGTCAAAAACATGATATTATATGTAACAATTTTACGCTTTGTTTTCGAAAATTCATACTTTATTGTCATTTTTTATGCGTTGCAAGTATTTGTTGCAGTCAATTCAAGAGTAAATATATAATTCCACGATTGACTCTGCAAACCATGATCTATGGAAAGTTCAAAATAAGAGCAAAACAAGGAAAAAAACCAATGCTTGGTGATCTTGAAGAAAAACTAATTGATTATGCTGGCAATTGTGCCCATATGGGAATTGGTTTCGGAAAAAAATCATTTATGCTGCTAAGCTTGCTAAAAAACATAACATAAGTTTTAAAATTGGTCGACCTATTAAAAAGTGGTGACAGCTACTTAAGAGACATGGCTGTGTGAGTCTTCATCGTCCAGAAGCTACAGCTTCTATACGACACATGTGTATGAATAGGGTTAAAGTTTCAAAATATTTTACTTCTTTAGAAGATCTAATACAAAACGAGAATTTACTGGACAAACCAAAATGAATGTGGAACATAGATGAAACAGGGATGCAACTAGAGAATAAACCAAGTTGTGTTGTTGCTAGGAAAGGCTCAAAATACATACAGAATTGAACAAATGGTAACAAAGAGACAATTACTGTTATATGTTGCATAAATTCAGCTGGTTTAGTCATATCACCTCATATAGTAGGGAAAGAATGCCTTTTATGGCTTTGATACAGAAAATGCTACAAGTGGAGCAACATGGAGTATATCTGAAAAGGGATGAACAAAACACGATATTGCAAAGTTATGGTTTAGAAAACATTTCCAAATATTGGCTCAGCAAGATTAAAGATTTTAATTCTAGATGGGCATGAATAATTTTGTTGAAATAATTTAGCTAGCTATTGTAAACCGAATTGAAATTGTTGAGTTTCAAGCTCACACCAGCAACTGGTTGCAGCTTTGTGACAGAACAATTTTTAAGTCACTGAAAACTGCTTATTCTGAGGTCTACCAAACAATGATGAACGACTACCCAGGTGTAGTAGTGTTGCATTCTAACTTTTGTGGTTTATTTTCAAAAGCGTGGAAACATGCTCAGGTTAGGGGAGTTTATCAATTTAATCCAGAGGCTATTAAGGCATAATGAGACATACATTTCAAATATTTTATATAGTTCTTTTTCAGATACTGTCCCAGTTCAAAATCTATGTGACATGTAAATTGTAAACAACCTTCTATTATTGCCTAATCTATCAAAAAATAACTATACAATCAACTCACTACCTTTAACCAAACCAGTAGAAGAAAATTAGTTAATTGATTTTTAAATTCAAGGCAATACTGTGAAATATTTAAATATTGTTACAGAACACAGCTATGCAAAAATGAAACCAGTACAAGACAATCAGTTTATTAATTTTTCTGTAGACAATATTGGTTTAAATATCGATACAGAAACATGTTTTAAAGAAGTGGAAGTAATTGAATCAACATTTGATTCAAATGATGAAAAAATAGTTTTTTGCAAAAATTAACATAACTTTCATTTCCATTTACTTATTCATCTTATCCATAAGACAAAGATTCAGATGTTCTTGCATATCCTTCTCCACAAATTAAAATCAAAAAACTATAATTTAAAGTTTTTTGTTCCGACCTTAGAGGAGGCTTATAATGCAAAGCTCGAAGATAGGGCTGCAAAGATAGCTAGTGAAAAAAGAAAAATTGAAAAACAAAAGATTTTGAAAGAAAAAAATAGAAATTTCTGCTAAAAAGAAGCTAGATCATGTATCAAACTTAAAGAAATTGACCAAGATGAATGAAAAACTAAAAAAAAAAACTAAAAAAAAACTATTTAGCAATAGTTTTTTTTTAGTTTTTTTTTGTTTAGGTTGTTGATTCAATTTAATGATTGTATAATTAATCTTATTGAATGAGTTATCTTGATTTTTTTTTTTTTTTAATTTTATGATAGTAAATCAATTTTCAGTGCCCCTTTTTATCTGTTCAACGTGTTTTCTAATTTCTGGCCAACTACCAATAAATGGTCAAGATGGCCAGCATTTGGTAAAATTGTTTACTTTTATTATCTGCTTTATATATATTTTTGTGTTATTATAGTCACAACAATTTTTACTTAAAATGACAGAGCTTTTAATTCTCTAAAAATTGATATATGATATGTAAGATATACTTGAGTATTTTTCTGTAACAGGCGTTTCTTGAAAAAGTGTGGCCAATAATTGGCGTAATAACCCTACTTGAAAATAATCAATTATAATATTAACAAGTTTGGTAAGACTTTCAAAAAAAAAAATTCTTTCATATGCTGCAAGTAATTAACGAGATTCAACCAATTACATGTATTGATTTTTGTTGATCTTTTATCAAAATAGTTAAACTATTGAAAATGTAGTTCTCATGTAGTAAAAACAATTTTATGCATATTTTATTACATTTTTATTACTCTAGGCATTTTTTAACTTGATGTCAATCTTATTACTTTGTAACTATTATGTTAATTTTTAACTATTATTTTTACTAATATTTTCAAATTTTATTTTCAGTTTTTTTGGTAGTGGGTTTTTTGGTGCTTCAAAAAAATTTATCAACTTAAGTAAATTGTAAATAATGTAGCAGAAACAAATATTATAAACAATTAATAATAAAATTAAAAATAATTACAAATACAAAAACCTCGGAATTAGGGTCAATATTTGGCAATGCCGACCATAAAATTAGCAAAGAGGCCGTTTATATTTTCATGCCGAGATCGCTATCCCGCCCACACTCCCCTGAAACTGTTTACGAGAGTTATTTACGGCTCTCGCAAAAGTATAATTTTTCTCATAAAAGTATAATTATCATTTTAAATAAAATGAAAAACACATATGTAATTATTTAAAAAAAAACAAACTGCAAAATATACTGAAATGCTTTATAAAAACAATGGTTGTTGCAAAAAAAATTTTTCTTTTTCCGCTCTAGTACTCATTTATTCCCGCCGAGGCTTGTGTGTATATATATATATATATATATATATATATATATATATATATATATATATATATATATATATATATCTACTATAGCATATTTATATGCGCAATTGCTCACTTTTTTTGCTAGCCTAAATTTAGTGAGCGTTTTTAAAAAACGATGAGGGAAAACAAAGAATAATGAATGAAAAGGTTGCTGACCCATACCAAACCCTCAGTCGATGTAGCAGCACTTCACTGCGAGTCAGGCTACTGACGTTAGGTGAGTATGACATCATCACGCTTACCTAACTCAGCAGTATAAGATATATATCTATATATATATTTATATATATATATATATATATATATATATATATATATATATATATATATATACATATATATACATATATATATATATATATATATATATATATATATATATATATATATATATATATATATATATATATATATATATATATACATATATATATATATATATTTATGTATATATATATATTTATATAGATATATATACATATATATACATATATATATATATATATATATATATATATATATATATATATATATATATATATATATGTATATATATATATATATATATATATATACATATATATATATATATATATATATATTAGGGTAGGTCGATTTTAGCTTTTTTTTTGACTTTTGAGTTGCGTAATGTTGCAGTTACTGTGTCTAGGTTAGAAATGAGGTTTTACCAAATCTCAAGTATCCTGGTTTAAGAATGGCTTGCGGATTTGCATTTCAAGTCTTAATTTTGGACTAGTTTTGTTAGATTGTTTATTTCAAACGTTGCAAAATTTTATTTTAAGTCAAGTAATCTTGTTTTAAAATATCTCCTTTTGAGTTTATAAAGTAACCAATAAACAAGCGCAATTGTTTTAAGAAGCCAATCGTTTACACGCATTTAAACTTAGCAAATCTTTTTTGTATTAAAATTTCTTGTTTGTATTTTAAAGTTAGTTTTAAAGTTAAATTTATTTAAAAGTAGGTTTAAAAATAAAACTGCAATTTAAAGAAATCTTTTAATATCAAAAGTAAATACTTATGATTATTATATCTAGAGTAATGTTTTAAACTGTTTATATTACATAAGT